TTACAATGCATTAAATGAGCTGCATAAACAAAAACATGCTTCTCATGTTTACAAGCACTGCAGTCATCAGGGACTTGTCGTGACTCATGCTCTGCAGAATCTTTCACAATTCTAGATTCTGCAGCCTCGAGTTTTCAAATTAAGATAAAAGAGGTGCTGTATATTAAGTGGGAAACTCCAACTTTAAACAAACAGCTGGGGCACTTAGATTTGTCTCTTTCTTTTAAATTCTTTTTCATGTTTTGTTTATTTTATTTAATTTTTTGTTTCTGTTTCAACTGCTGTTGACGTGCACGCAGCCTTTGTTCCCAGTGTATTCCGATATTCAAATTGTTAACATGAATTTTATGGCGTAGTCATGTGCACAGTGAACATTCAAATGTACAACCATTGAACATTTGCAACTGAAGATGACAAAGGAATGTCGAAACATGTTTTGTAAAATGAAAAATGTTGTTTCCTTTTTAAAAATTTGAAGTGTATAATTGACAAGTATTTTTTTTTTTTAGTTGGTAGAATCTACATATATGCTGTAAATCCTCGAATCAGCACCCGGGGCACATATTTCAAAATTAGGAGAGGATGGGAGTGCTTATTTGAGGGAGGCACTTAATCAAGAGGGGCACTTATTTAATTTCTCCCAAAGCATGGTCAGATATGATCTAGGGCACAACATGCTCCCGGAGGTCTGTCACGTGTCATACTGTATACAAGGTCACCCCTACCACCCTGGGGCTTTATGAATAATGCATAAGCCCACAAAAACAAATCATCTGCACCTCAACAACTTCAACACCTCAAAAAACATGGACTCTGGTACAGCTCAGTGCACAAGTGACCATGAGAGCCCTACGCACTGGTCAGAGGATGTGCAGAATGTGCTTAATATAATCATAAGGGTATTGAAAAATAAGTAGCTTAACATACCGGATATGCAGCCTGTGCAGGACTGGGCTGCCCGGTGTATTGGTATTGAGGAGGCGGAGCATGGGTTGAATAATATCCTTGAGAGGGATCATAAGGTGGCGGCACAGGTCCCTGCAGATAATCAAAAATGAAGGAAACTTTGATTCAATGATATAGTAATGGCTGGTAAGCCTACCTGTGAAATAAATTCGTGACCACATGGAAAAACATACACTAATGCTCATCTGTTATACAGGGAAAAATTAACAGTTAACAAATGGATAACAAATACTTCAGCAGAATGTTTAAACAGTTTTATAATTACAATCAAAAATGTTACTTTCCTGCTCTGAAAT